ACTCGCGCCTTTTAAATCCGCTCGGCATGCACACCTGTCGGGTCTAATTGTGCATATGATCGCAGCCTCGGGTACCCGAGGAACTGAGCAGTGACTCACAAAAAGTTCATACCCTGCCACAAATTCTGTCCGTCTCTAAGGTGCTCCTGGACTCCTGAAAAGTGAGCACTGGCTCCCAAAAGCTCCTCCCCTGCCACACATTTTGCTGGTCTTGCAGGTGCTCCTGGACTCCCACTCTTTTCTATTGCTGTAGAGGTGGCTCAAGGGGTTAAGACGCTGAACTGCAGGCTGTGGAAGGTCGGTAGTTCAGCAGTTCGAGACCCGGGTTGCCGCATGATGGAGTGAGCTCCCCTCTCTAGTTCCAGCTCCTGCCAACCTAGCAGTTCGAAAGCAAGAAATTGCAAGTAGATAAATAGGTACCACTTCGGTGGGAAGGTAACAGCGTTCCGTGCGCCTTGGTGTTTAGTCACGCCGGCCACATGACCACGGAAACGTCTTCGGACAGCGCTGGCTATTCAGCTTTGAAATGGAGATGAGCACTGCAACCCTAGAGTCGGACTCGACTGGCTTTTGAGCAAGGGAAACCTTTACCTTATAGACAGACTAACACGGCCGCCCATCTCAATCTATCACAAAAGGAGGACAAGAGAACCTCGTTATCTGCCCATCCATGAAGCTTGGTTGGAGATGCTTCCTACCAGGACATCAGTATAATCAGTTGTACCTGGAAGCAACTTCAGGAGCTACTAAATATAAGAATGGGGGGGGGAGGAACCCATCCAACCCACCCACGTCAATCTGACAGATTTAGGTTGGCATGCGATCGCTCCTCCGAAGCCTGCCAATTAAACCTCCAACTTTGACTCTTGGCTATAACTAGAAGGAAAATCATCACTAAAGAAGGAAGCTTAAACATCTGTCCCGGTGCCAGACCTGCTCTCTTCTGCTCTAATGATAATGCAGTGCCTGCACTGTTCTGGAGCAGTGTCGAAAGGGGAGGGTGAACAGATGGAGGCTTAATCCTTGCATTAAAACCAGAGGAGCTGCCAGGATGACTCGGCATGTGCGATAAAACAAAAGCATCGCGGCGGCGGCGCCTCGCCGCCAACCAGGACAGCTTTTCGCCCTGGGCCGAGAGGGCAGGGAGATAAGCCGAGTGCTCTCTCCCAAGTCCGGTAAAGAAGCCAGTCCAAAAATAAACACTGGCTCCCCGTGCGTTTGCTCGCAGAGTCTTGCCGATAAGCTTCTCCTAGCTGACACTCGTTTCGACGCTGGGGATGCAGAGGTCCAAGAAAGTCGTTATCTTTAAACGGGCTGGATGCAGTCCTAACCTCTGAAGACATCTGAGGGGCCGTGATGTTGGAACTCCTGTTCCCTAGGACCAGAAAGTATCTGAGCTGGGCTCAGGGGAGGGGCCGTGGCTCAGTGGCAGAACATCAGCTGGGCATAAGAATGTAAGAGAAGCCATTTTGGATCAGGCCCATGGCCCATCCAGTCCAACACTCTGGGTCACACAGAGGCCAAAACCCAGGGGCCATCAGGAGGTCCACCAGCGGGGCCAGGACACCAGAAGCCCTCCCGCTGTTGCCCCCCCAGCACCAGGAAGACAGAGCATCACTACCCCCAGACAGAGTGTTCCATCTATACCGTGTGGCTAGTAGCCACTGGTGGAACTCTGCTCCAGATGTTTATCCGATCCCCTCTTGCCGCTGTCTCTGCTTGTAGCTGCCACCACTTCTTGTCGCAGTGAGTTCCACATGTAGAAGGTCCCAAGTTCAGTCCTTGGTTTCTCTGGTTAGAAGGACCAGGCACTGGGCAATGAGAATGACCACTGCTAGAGACACTGGAGAGCCAATACCGGTCTGAGTAGACAATACTGACCTCGAGGGACCACGGCTCTGATTCAGTATAAGGCAGATCCCCGTGTTCATGTGTCCAACCCACTGCCCCAACAGGCCTCTAAGGAAGGTGTTAATTAGTTCTGCTCAAGCTGGCTTGTTTGTCTCTTTCAGGGCTGGCTTGAATACAGGGGTGGAGCGGCCGTATAACTTACAGGGACGTTTCCTGGCAAGCCACTGCCCTAGAGGGCTGCTGGTGGCTGGGAACAAACAAAGCCAAGCTCTATCAATGGCGTTACAGCCTCAGGGGCCACCTGGCAAAGACCGTGCCTCAGCCATGGTAATTGGTGTCAGTTCGGGTTGCCATCCCCCCGATGGGGGCGGGCTTCCCCCCACTTTTGGGGGGCCCCAATCCACTGCTGGCCCGCAGGGGGTGCCTTGCCCCCAAGCAGCCCCATCTGTGCCCAACGTGATGATGTCTCCTGGAAGGTGACGCCATCACACCGGGCATGTCACGTGGGAGACGCTCTAGCACTTGGGAGAAAACCTCTATGGTAACCATAGAGTGTCCCCTGCGCAATCTGCCCCCCTGTGATGACGTCACTTCTGGGTGACGTTGTTGTGGTGTGCCCCAGAAGACTCCAGGAAGAGGACTGGAGCCCCCCCCCTCCAGAACCCAGTAAGGACCAGGCAATCCTAGTGTCAGTTCACTGATCATCTTTTTTAACTTATTATTTGTTTACTCTCCAGGGTCTCAGGCCAAGAAAGCTCTTTCACATCACCTGCTGCCTAATCCTTTAACTGGAGATGCTGAGGACTGAACCTGGGACCTTCTGCAGACCATGCAGAGGCTCTGCCATTGTAATGGATAAATAACAAAGCACTGCCAAACTATTCAGTGGAGTATCTACTGGACAGGAGAAAAAATACGGTGGTGCCCTTCAAGAGAGCCAGTGCAGTGCAGTAGACTGCTGGACTAGGATCTGGGAGCGCCAGGTTCGAATTTCGACTTTTCCATGGAAGCTCGCTGGATGACCTTGGGCCAGTCACACTCTCTCAGCCTAACCTGCCTCACAGGGTTGTTGTGGTGGGGATAAAATGGAGGAAAGGAGAATCACATGACCCTCTTTGGGTCCTCACTAGAGAGAAGGGGGTTGAGTAGAAATGAAAATAAGTCAAAAACCAAAAAGCCTCTGGCAAGAGACCCTCCTTTTGGTACCTCGTTCTCCCGGATATCCATCTCGGCCTGGCTGCCCGGGCATCCCCACTTCTCCTCTTTCTCCTTTCATTCCCGGGGGTCCAGGAAGACCTGGGGGGCCAGGCTCTCCCACCTTCGGTTTGTCTTCCCAGATGGGAACAGGCTTCTGTGCATGTTCGTGGAGGAAGGCGTCAAGCTTCAAAACATGAGCTGGAAAGAAAGAGAGAAAGGATTTTTTTTTTGCCAATATGTATTGATAAATTAATTAATTTATTATTTAGATTTCTATCCCGCCCTCCCTGCAGGCTCAGGGCGGCTAACAGGGCAGAATGCCAGATAAAACAATAAAACAGTATAAAATGTTAAATTACACATAAACAAATAACAAACAGATAACATCCTAAAACAATTTCGGTGCTCCTCGATTCGCTTCCAGATGTTAAGATCTTTAAGAGCAGGATGGCGTTCTCAGTAACGTAGCTGGACAACTGCGGCAGTGCATGTCCCACTGCCCTACCGTCCCCTAAAAGACGTCCCGTCCCCTCCAATGATGCCCACAGCAAGATGTCAATATGCGGAACTCATAGGGCGTTGGTGGAACAGTGATGGTTAAATGAGACACAATCGAACGATGGAAGCGATTTGCCACTCTTTGGCATTGAGTTCTGGCCAGCCCAGGGCCGGAAGCAAGTGTGAATTCTGCAGAACAAAATGTGGATCATCTATATGGCAGTTATCCCAAATGGTGAGCTAGGGTCAGACCTTGATAAACACAAAGAACTGTGCACCAGCACTGTACATAAAATCCAAGTATTCTTATTCTTTTAAGCAGGGTCGGTACTTGGAAGGGAGGCTGCCAAGGAAGACTCTGCAGCAGAAGGCCATGGCCAACCCCCTCTGCTTCTCACTTGCCTTGGAAGCCCCTTGCTGGAGTCACAAGAATTCAGCTGTGGCTTGATGCCACTTTATACACACATTGTATTATTCAGACTGTAGCACTTCCCTCTCCTGCCAACCTAGCAGTTCGAAAGCAAGAAATTGCAAGTAGATAAATAGGGACCACTTCGGTGGGAAGGTAACAGCATTCCGTGTGCCTTGGTGTTTAGTCATGCCGGCCACATGACCACGGAAAGGTCTTCGGACAGCGCTGGCTCTTCGGCTTGGAAACGGAGATGAGCACTGCAACCCAAGAGTCGGACTCGACTGGCTTTCGAGCAAGGGAAACCTTTACCTTTACCTTTTTAGCACTTCCCTACTGCAGGTTGGAAAATGTGAGCCTTAACATTTTCCCAATATATAGAAGAGGCTAAGCTAGCAACTATTACTTTTTTCACGTGCAGCTCTTTTTCAAATATGCGAGAAGAAGAAGAAGAGATTGGATTTATACCCCGCCCTTCACTACCCAAAGGTGTCTCAGAGCGGTTTATAAACTCCTTTCCCTTCCCCTCCCCACAACAGACACCCTGTGAGGTGGGTGGGGCTGAGAGAGCTCTTGACAGAAACTGCTCTTTTTCAAGAAGAGCTCTTATCAGAACTATGGCTTGCCCAAGGTCATCCAGCCAGGTGCAAGTGGAGGAGTGGGGAATGAAACCCGGTCCTCCCAGATTAGAGTCCGTGCACTCAACCATTACACCAAACTGGCTCTCAAGCACTGTAAGAGCACTGTAATACTATATGCACATAAGAACTGTACCATACAGCTAAATACACAAAATATCTTCTTCAAAGGACGTTCAAAAGTGTGAGTGTGGTAGTTTCAAGTCACACTATTTGGAACAACAACCTAAAGGTGTTCAAATTAAGTCCACAAAAAATTCTTTCACCATACAGATCTTCCTTCTTTCTCTGACGTGAATGCTAGCTTATTCCAAACACTTTCCCCATATGCTTTCTCAAAGAACAGACCTGATTAAATTTTGTTCCAGGTGGATACTCTGTCAACCAAAAAAGAGAAAACTTAATTTGAACACCTGAAGGAGTTGTTCCTAAAAGTGTGACTTGGAACTACTATACTCACACTTTTGAGAGGAAGAGGAAGAGGAGGGAGGAGGAGGAGATTGGATTTATACCCTGCCCTTTACTCGGAGTCTCAGAGCTGCTTACAAACTCCTTTCCCTTCCCCTCCCCTAAACAGACACCCTGTGAGGTAGATGGGGCTGAGAGAGCTCTGACAGAAACTGCTCTTTCAAGGACAGCTGTGCCAGAACTATGCCTTGCCCAAGGTCATCCAGCAGCTGCAACTGGAGGAGTGGGGAATCAAACCCGGTTCTCCCAGATTAGAGTCCACACACTTAACCACTACACCAAACTATACCGAAAAAGATATTTTGTGTATTTCTTGGTATGGTACAGTCCTTATACAGTGTGCATTAATTTGCTTAAAATAATAAGGATGCTTGGATTTTACATAGAGTCCTTTTTGTTTATTGATCTCATTACTGTGTAGCTCACCTCTGTAGTTAGGGTCAGACCTTGGGCAGGGTAAATTGGCATGTTGAACAGTGCGGCTCCAGTGCTTCGGGGGTTTCGTCAGCACAATAGCAGCTGCCATCCAGAGAGGAGGCTGCCCACAGTATCTCTGAATGTTTGATTGCTCTGGATTTGTTGATCAATCTCAACCTGTGCGAGGTAATATTAATTTTGCTCTGTTTTTGCATCAGGGTGAGTGAGACTCTCGACCACTTCAGATACAGGGACAGACAACACAATTCCCCTCCCCCTCCCCGAGGAGGCTACTTGTTGCATGCCTAGGCTTTTCAGGGGGCCCCAACATGGCGCCCGCGGGCACTATGATGGCGGCCACCTTTCCTGGCGCCCGCCACATGTTTCTAGAAAGCAGGCGGGGCCAGTCGGAGCATTTGCTCAGCAGGGATCCTGTTGGCTGTGCAGTTTTTGTAAAAGTCGCTTCAGCAGCTATTATCACCATGGCACAAGGATCTATACCGCACGACTGTGTGTGCAAGGAGATATTTTTAAGCAATATTTAAAAAGCAAGAGTCCAGTAGCACCTAAAAGACTAACAAAACACCTGGCTGATATGAACCTGTTATGTCCGCTGACCGCCACCAGGCGCCAGCGACTCATACCAGAGCTTGGTTCTCAGAGACAATAGGGACTAGGATCCAGAAACCTCTAGTGGTCACCAATAGGGACTTTGGCGGGACGTTTAAACCCTCCAATAGGACCTGTGAGTGGGCCAAGGGGACTGTATATAGTTGGCCGACCGGCCGGTATTTTGAGTGTTATGTTGTGTACGAGTAAACAGGGTTATTTTTGGGCAGGAACGCACAGGAACGGAGTTCCGGCTGGCTCCTGAGCTGGCCACGCCCAGCAGGAACTCATTAGCATAACAGGCCACACCTAACAGCCGAAACTCATTAGGATTGGCTTCATTAGGGGTGTGTGGCCTAACATGCAAAGAAGTTCCTGCTACAAAAAAAGCCCTGGGTTTTGACAACAAAGTAAACAGAATAAGAAGCAAAAGGAGGGTGTGGCTGGATGACCACACTTCTGGGGGTGTGGCCTAATATGCTAATGAGCTGCACCATCAGGGTGTGGCCTAATATGCTAATGAGTTCCTGCTTTTGGGTGTGGCATATTATGCTAATGAGTTCCTGCTGGGCTTTTTGTACAAAAAAAGCCCTGCGAGTAAATGTGTGCTGACTATCGCTCTGTTTCCTGATCACTCGATGCATTGAACCCACTACACGACAGAAACGAATTGACCTGGAGGTGGAGAAAAGCTAGAGAGATAAAAAATGGAATCAGATCGTGTGCTAATCCTGATGCTAATCAGATTACTGGAAAACATAGGACTGAAAGGGATAATTGATTGAAGTGCTGTCTCGGGGCAGAACGAACCACTCATTAGCCCTTTCATGGACAAAGCCCCATAATCCAATTAGCGAGGAAGTGTCTGGCAAGAGGGTTGCGAACTCCAGTTTATGAAATTCCTTGAGGTTCTGGGGTCGGAGCCTGGGGACCTCAGCTGGGCACAGCGCCAGGGAGCCCACAATCGGAAGCAGCTGTTTTCTTTCAGGGGGACTGACCTCTGTCGTCTAGAGATCAGTTGTAATTCCGGGGGATCCCCAGGCCCTACCTGGAGGCTGTCGGGCCACAGAGAGGGGGAAACAAACCTGACCCCAAAAACTGGAATCAAGAACTACAAGGGTGAGAAGGAAGTCTAATAAAGGGCCAATATTAAAAACCTAGTTGAAACTTATGATATACAAAAATACATGTATTTATTAGAAAGAAGAAGAAGAGATTGGATTTATACCCCGCCTTTCACTACCCGAAGGTGTCTCAGAGCGGTTTACAAACTCCTTTCCCCTCCCCTCCCCACAACAGACACCCTGTGAGGTGGGTGGGGCTGAGAAAAAAGATGGCCGTGGCCCCGCCCCCAGCGTGCCCGGCGTGGTCACGTCACTTCCAGGTGACGCGCACGTCGGGGAGGAGTTTCCCCTGGGACCTGATCTGGCAGCACCGAGGAACAGGCCTCTAGGGCGGGGTTTTCCCCGCCCCCCGGGGGGACTTGGGAGGCCTAGCCAAAACACAAGGGCCAGTACACATGACCTGACGCATTTCCGCCCGACTGGGGCCTTCTTCAGAGGTCAAGCAATATTGAGGTACATGTAACTTTAATACATATTACAATAAGATAACCTTCCTTTTCTTGGTCCAATAGGCCCCAATAGGACAGAAACGCATCAGGTCATGTGTATTGGCCCTTGTGTATAGGCCACTTGAACTTTTTAAGGGGGCTTTCATCGGGCCCTTATATATATTTTTTAATGGTCTTTCTAATAAGTATGTGTCTTTTTGTATATTATAAGTTTCAACTAGGTTTTTAATATTGGCCCTTTATCAGACTTCTTTCTTACCCACCTGGAGGCTGGCAACACTAAGTTATCCCATAGATTTTGGAAAGGTTCACACAGAAATGAAATGCAGGCGTTCCCGGAACAGCCAGCTCCCCTGGAAGGCTACCGGGCTGTCCGAGTTGATTGGGAAGGCTGCTCTTACACTGAATCAGACGCTCGCAGGCCTGGTTTACCAAGTGATAGATGGCGGCTATGGACTGCGGTTCACCCTAAGGGAGGGGAAAGGAAAAAAAAACAAGTCAGCAGGTGCAGAAAGCAAGGCAAGGTGGAGCACAACAGCACACCCAGAGAGAGAATCCATCTGGTTGACTCAAGCCAAGCTAGCGCATCAGGAAGAAGTCCGGGCCAGAAACTTTATCCTTGATATGCTAACTTTCTACACCCAGGGAGTTTATTAACTCGGAGGAACACCAATACACACGACGAAACACGACGCTTCTTTGTGTTCTGAAGGAGCACAGGCCTTGGAAGCCATCTGCATCAGATCGCAAGGGACGGCATGGAAGGAATCAGAATCATAGAGTTGGAAGGGACCTCCAGGGTCATCTAGTCCAACCCCTGCACAATGCAGGAAATCCATAAATACCTCCCCCCAACACACACCCAGTGACCCCTGTTCCGTGCTCAGAAGAGGACAAAAAAACCACCCCAGGATCTCCAGCCAAACTGGCCAAGAGGAAAGTTCTTTCCTGACCCCAAAGTGGTGATCAGCATTTCCCTGGGCACGTAAGAAAGGGCCACGAGAACTAAGCACTGAGGAAACCCTTCCTACCCGCCCTTTCATGATCTGCCCAAGTTTACATAATCAGCATTGCTGTCAGATGGCCATCTTCTGCTTGAAGGAGGAGAGCCCACCCCCTCCTGAGGAAGCCTGTTCCACTGAGGAACCACTCTGTCAGGAAGTTCTTCTTCATATTTAGGAAGAAGCTCCCCTCTCCCCAAAGACTCGCTGATGACTGAGAATGCATTTCTCTTGGACCTCTTTTGTGGCAGCTTTCTGAGGCTTTAGCTCCTTGGAATGCTTTTAATGGGCTCGGGAACAAATGACACTAGGGTTCCCAAGTTGGATCGGCGCTGGAGCGGGGGACTCCAGCGCTGCTCCGGGAGTGCGCGCGCGCTCCGCAACCCCATCACCTGGAAGTGATGCGACTACGCCGGGCACGCTGGGGGCGGGGGCACGACCATGCACGGAAAACCATAGAGATTTCCCTTGGATGACCGTGGCTCCACCCCCGGTGTGCCCGGCGTGGTCGCGTCACTTCTGGGTGACGTGCACATCGCGAGCTTTGGGGGTGGGGTTCCCCCCGGGTCCTGATCTAACGGCGGCGGGGAACGGGCCTCTGGGGCAGGGGTTTCCACGCCCCCCCTGGGGGGACTTGGCAAGCCTAAATGACACACATTCCTCCATGTGTGCTCTTGTAAAATCAGGGCCTATCAAGCACCTAAGAAATGATAAGAATCACAAAATGTCTCAATAGCTGAATTATGGCCCGGCATATGGTGACTGATGGGAGTCACAGGGACTTCTGTACTGCAGGGGGGCAGTTTGCACCCTGGTGCAATGACGTCACTTCTGGTACGACCCAGAAGTTACATCATTGCATGGGATGTCAGCTTTTGCATTCACCCCAAATTCCATGGTTACCCATCAGGCCCGTAGCCAGAAATTTCTTTTCTCTCTCTTTTTTAAAAATAATTTTTAATTTTATTAAAAGATAAGTCAAGTATACATAAATAAACCCATTATGTCTCGACATTACTGCATAAACATTAATACAAACTGTGAGTGCAGATACATCTATCACAATGCTGTCTATTAACTTGTCAGCAGGATCTCCGTATGGCCATATCCTTGTCACTTTCTTGTGATTTTCCCAATTATTCTAAGATTGCTATAATAGTAACGTATAATAAACCTAGATATATTTTTGAAGGACCTCAATAGTATTTTGTGAGAGTGCTCAGACCCTAAAAATTCTCATAGATGTAGCCATTCTGCATAGCCAGTATGTGCAGGTAATACATCGTTTTCTGTGAAATACGTTATGAGAGGACCTCATTTTCGAATGAATCTGGAATGGGACCCCGCGTCAATCACAAAGTGGCCCCAACCGAACGAGCCACCACATTAATAGCCACGGCGCGGCTTTCTATTGCTGCCTCATGGAAAAATCCTGATCCTCCTTCCATTGCTTAATGGAGAAATAAATGTAGCCAGGAATTTCTAAGTCAGAGGGCATTTTAATTCCTCAGGGTTGTTGTTGTTGTTGTTCAGTCGCACAGTCGAGTCCGACTCTTCGCGACCCCATGGACCAGATCACGCCAGGCCTTCCTGTCTTCCGCCGCCCTCTGAAATTTACTCAATTTCATGTTCGTTGCATCTATGACACTGTCTAACCATCTCATCCTTTGCCGTCCCCGTCTTCTTTGACCTTCAATCTTTCCCAGCATCAGGGTCTTCTCCAGTGAGTGCTCCCTTCTCATTTGGTGGCCAAAGTATTTGAGCTTCAGTTTCATTATCTGGCCTTCCAGGGAACAGTCAGGGTTGATTTCTTTGAGGATTGACTGATTTGTTCTTCTTGCAGTCCAAGGGACTCTCAAGAGTCTCCTCCAGCACCATAGTTCAAAAGAATCTATTCTTCGGCGCTCGGCCTTCCTTATAGTCCAACTCTCACAGCCATACATGACTACTGGGAATACCATTGCTTTGACCATGCGGACTTTTGTTGGCAGGGTGATGTCTCTACTTTTTATCATGCTGTTTAGGTTCGCCATCACTTTCCTCCCAAGGAAATCTTTTAATTTCATGGCTGCTGTCACAGTCTGCGGTGATCTGGGATCCCAGGAACGTGAAGTCTGTCACTACTTCCACGACTTCCCCTTCTATTTGCCAAGGAGTGATGGGGCCGGATGCCATGATCTTAGTTTTTTTGATGTTGAGCTTCAAGCCCACTTTTGCGCTCTCCTCTTTTACCCTGAGCAAGAGGCTCTTGAGGTCCTCTTCACTTTCTGCCATCAGAGTGGTATCGTCTGCATATCTGAGGTTGTTGATCTTTTCCCCAGCAATCTTAATTCCCGCTTGTGATTCATCCAGGCCAGCATTTCGCATGATGTACTCTGCATATATATTAAATAAGCAAGGTGACAGTATACATCCTTGTCGTACTCCTTTTCCTATGCTGAACCAATCAGTTGTTCCATATCCGGTTCTAACTGTCGCTTCTTGGCCCTTATACAGGTTTCTCAAGAGACATGTGAGGTGGTCTGGTACTCCCATCTCTTTAAGGACTAATGAGTTTCCTGCTGTTGGGTGTGGCCTCTTATGCTAATGAGTTCCTACTGGGCCTTTTCTACAAAAAGAGCCCTGCGTGGGGCCAGGCACCAAAATGCCCACTGTAACTACGGGCCTGTTACCCATAGAGTTTCGGGTGAATGCTAGAGCGTCCCCCAGTGTGATGACATCACTTCCAGCTCGTGCCAGAGGCAATGTCATGCTGGGGAGGCCAATCATGTGCTCCCATCTCACCTGGGAATTTCCTCCCACCCACCCCAGCTGAGTGGGGGAGATGGGAGCTTAGGACAGAAGATGCCCCACATCTAGCGGGAAGCCAGTGACCCTCCTAGACAGTGAAGGGGATTTCTGAGGGGGATGTGACGGCAGCCAGTTGGCCCCTAATGGTTGGGAATTTTGGGTTTAGGTGTGAAAAACGTCCTAGGCAACAACACTGGTGAACAGATTGTTTCTTCAAGGCAAGGTTCTAAAACACTGCTTCAGCTGGCCTTTCCGTCCTTCAAAAGGCTTTCTAATAAAAAACGTAATAACGGTGTAAAGCAATCTACAGTATTGAGTGGTGACATTTCGAATATACTGGAGACACCCACGCCACTCCCGGCCTCTTGCTGTTTCCCGTTCCTCTGTCGTCTACTTTGCTGTGGGAGAGAAGCCGATCTGTATTAGAAAATACGCCCACCAAAGACTAGAAACGAGCGATGAACTCTTGATTTGAACCATGCAAATGTTCATGTCTTTTAAATCAAGACTGGTTCCAGCTGGGGGTGTGTGTGTCGCTGAGCAAAATGCCCCCGTCCCCGCCCATCCTGGTCATTCACATCATAGCTGTGTGCCACTGGCTCTGCTACTGACCGACTGTTTTAAGTCTCTGGCCTTGGCAACTTCTTGGCTGCAGTCAGAGAAAAGTCTCCTCCCTTTTTTTGGAAACCAAGCCCAAACAGCATCTCTCCTCCCTGAAGCAAAAGGCTGATTCCCAGCTGTTCTTGGCCTGCTTCCGAACAACCCAAAGAAGGACCTCTCTTGCATCTGCAAGGAGCACCTGTTCAGAAAGTAACTGCTTTCACTGCAGGATGACACTGTTAGGAACATCAGAAGTGCCCTGCTGGATCAGACCGGGGTCCATCTAATTCAGCATCATAGAACACAGTGGCCAGAAATACCAGTGCCATCAGGAGGTCCCATCTCACACAGTGGCCAACAGTTTCACACAGAGGCAACCAGTAGGGGGGTTGGGGGCGGGAACATGGTGGAGAGGGCTGGCGTAGTGAGCATGATGATGTCACTTCCGGGGAAAACCTGGAAGTGATAGTGGTAGCTCTGGGAATTTCTGGAAACTCTATGGTAAATCCATAATGTGGGTCTGCCTGACAACAACCCTTTGGATGAGGAGGAAATGGAGAACGCTGACTTTGGCAGCCTGAGTTAGGAGGTCCATCAGCAATATGTATTCTCCAAGGAATGAATTTTTAACATTCTGTGTGGGTCCTGAATTGCCATAAGAACTTGGTATGAATAATATACTACTCAAAACAATAGTAAATCAAAACACAATTGTATCATCATATGAAGATGCCATCCGGCGGAGAACTGTGATGCTTGAAAAATTAATCTGAACAAACATTACTACTAAATGAATTCATTTCTCACTATATAATGAAGGCCGCGTCTACCGATCATTTCACTCTGATTGAATAACTAACCTCCGTTTGAAACGACTATCTTTGATAGGTAAATAAATAAATATCTTCCCCGCGGCAGATAATAAAGTAATCAAAATGCAGAAAATGACTTGAAAATGGACATTGCTGGTAACCATAAAAGCTTATAATGAAATGAAAACGGAGGCCTGTATCAAACAGTGAGATTTCTGATGACTCTGTTTGGATCGATGTGTCGTCCTAGAGAAAATTAGAGGAAAACTGGGCAGGGTGCCCGGGAAATAAAAATGAAAAAATGCCATCATATCACCAAAGGGGGTGGGGAGTAAAAAGATCATAAAGGAAAACTTAGCAGGGGTGCAATAAAGTGGCATTTAAAAACCCAGAGAAGATGCCAAAGGGAAACAATAAAATGTCTTGCACCTGGTTCCGATGCTGGCTGCAGAGGGAATCTAGCCGAAGTTTAAAAAGCTATCAGTTAACAAAAACAAAGCAAAAACCCCTCAGTAGAAATTCAGGACACTTTGAGCACCTGCGAAAACCAAGAAAGTGGGAATGATCCGTCAGGTTCCCTATCAGGCTCTTTTTGTAGCAGGGACTCCTTTGCATATTAGGCGACACACCCCTAATGTAGCCAATCCTCCAAGAGCTTACAGCAGCCCCTGTAAGAAGAGCTCTGTAAGCTCTCGGAGGATTGGCTACATTAGGTGTGTGTCACCTAATATGCAAAGGAGTTCCTGCCACAAAAAGAGCCCTCTAGCAATCTCTTCCACTCTGCCCCCGTGTTTAATGATGGGGATTTTAAAGAGGTAAGTATCCAAGATGGAGAAACGTTTTTTTTTTTTGGTGTTTGCATCTTCATATTCAGACAGATTTAACTCCACTACATTTTTTTTTTGTCAAAAGTCACTAAACAACAACTGTGACACCAGATGGGATCAGCAGATCTTTGGAACATCTTGTTCCAAGTTGGCTTTTATTGACGCTGAAACATAGACTGAAGAAAGTCAGCTGACTGCACCAGCGTTCCCTCTAAGCTGAGTTTGTGTGAGCCAGCTCACAGTTTTTTAGCCTCCAGCTCACACATTTTTTGCTTAGCTCAGGAAGGATGGCTCCAGAGCAGACTAATTTATACAGTAGCCAAGCCACTCGCTCACAAGTTTAATGCCACTAGCTTCCAAAGTAGAATTTTTGCTCACAAGTTTCCACAGCTTAGAGGGAACATTGCACACAGCATCACAGATCTGGAAGGGGCCATACAGGCCATCTAGTCCAGCCCCCTGCTCAATGCAGGAGCATCCCTGACAAGAGTTTGTCTAGCCGCTGCTTGAAGACCGCCAGTGAGTCATCTACAGGGCTATCACATAAGTATCCCGCCCTTCTTCCAAATAGTTCAGAGAGGACAAGACTTCCTCCATTTTTTTCTTTCACAACAACCCTGTGAGGTAGGTTATACTGAGAGTGGCTAGATCAAAGTCTTCCAATGAATTGCTGGGTGAGAGGTAGGGTCGCCAGTCTGCAGGTGGTATGGGGAGTTTTGGTTAACAGAGCAGAGTTTTGCCCCGTTACAGAAGCGTGGTACTGAGTGCAGGAAATAATTCTCCCAAGAAGTATATTTCCCAAAAAATTAAACTTGCATTAATTCACGTAAATCCAGTTCACATTCAGGTTGCAGTCGAAAGGAGAGAAGCCTCATCTAAAGAGTCCTTTCCCTGTACAAACGACCAGCTTGTCCGGCATCCTGTGTGAGAGAGTTTGAGGTCATTGTCTCTACAAGAGAGACCTGCAGAGACATCTGCCTCCATGGAAAGGGATTAGGTACCATTTCACAGCATGACAGTGGGGCCACAGAGTGGGAAGAAGAAGAAGAAGAAGAAGAAGAAGAAGAAGAAGAAGAAGAAGAAGAAGAAGAAGAAGAAGAAGAAGAAGAAGAAGAAGAAGAGGAAGAGGAAGAGGAAGAGGAGGAAGAAGAGGAAGAGGAGAAGGAAGAGGAAGAGGAGAAGGAAGAGGAAGAGGAGGAGGAGGAGGAGGAGGAGAGTGGATTTATACCCCCCAAATGTTGCTGGTCTCTAAGGCCCAACTGGATTCAGAGCGAGCTGTTCTTCCCAGATTGTAGCTGTGACTTCTATAGCAGCCTTCCATATCTGCTTTATGAATTCTCTGCAACAAACTCTGAGCTGGCCAACACGGATATCAACAAGGAAAACCAAAGACACTTACTTTCTCTCCCCTTTCTCCTTTTGGACCAGGCAGCCCCTGGAGAGGAGAAAAACAAAACACAATTATTTATCTGAGAGGCACTGAACAAAAATGGAAAGGTTACATTCACTGGACTGTTTTTTTTCTCAACACTTTTTATTGAAGTATTAAAAATGCATACAACTGTTAAAACTTCTGATGTGATTCTCTGGGGGAAACCTGTAAGGACACAACACATTTCATGCCTCCTTTTCAAAATGCCTCTTCTACAGATTCACTTTCCTTCGCAAGCCAAATCATCTTCCTGCAGAATGTGGGCAAAAAGCCTCCAGGATTAGCAACGCTTGGGAAATGGATCCATTCCAGACGAATCTGCAACCCCATTTTAAAAAATGTCTTTATTCCGTTTTATTTATATCCCGCCCTCCCCTGCAAGCCAGCTCAGGGTGGGTCACAACATTTTGCCTTTGGGGGGTGTATTTTGGGGAAAAAATACATAGTTAGTAGAGAGGTGGGCAACTAAGATGATTAGGGGCCTGGAGCACCTTTCCTATGAAGAAAAGCTGAAGAGTCTGGGACTTTTCAGTTTAGAAAAGAGACAGCTAAGGGGAGACATGATAGAGGTTTATAAAATTATCCATGGGGTATGAAATATACTGGGTTCGACACGCGAGCAGTGATCAGCTCATGCTTTATTGTGAATCAGCTTGGACTAAGACAACCTTAGCAGGATCGAAGCCCTGCTTAAATCCGTGCACCACACCACACCCGACACACACCCACGGCCCGTGATAGGTTATTTACAAAGGTACTCCTGGTCGATAGGTTCCTTCCAGGATCCTAGCAGTCTATTGTTCTGTGTACCCAAGCTGGGTCATTCGATGTCGGGCCCAGGACATAACAGGTTGGCCTTGATGGTTTTGGGGCCCATTCTAACTCTGGGACTTGAAAATGTGAAATGTAAACTGTGAATCTCTTGGGTTTTAATATTAGGATCTGTCCTATTTCTATAGGGTGAATGATGCATTTGAGTAAAGCAATTGGCAGGTAGAGAAGCCCGTTTTACCACCAGGGCCTAGACTAGGTAGCTTTCAACTCCCTTCTAGCCCTGTAATTCTACATCCTCCCTTGTTCAGTTCCCTAGTGACACAGCTATAAAAGTTAATGTGAATATTCATGACCCTCTAGAAGCTGAAAGACAGAACATATTCATAGCTGTGGATTCACTGTGCTGAACAAGCTACTGCTTTGTGAACAGTACCGTTTGAAGCCACATGTGCTATAAAAAGCGGCGATTCCTTGCAGATGTTCCTGCACCACTAAGCCATTGTGAATGTAATGCACAACAATGTCCAATCGAATTGCAAAGGAGACAATGTAACAGACCCGAATATTGATTAGGTTTGTGTTAAAACGGAACGCTTGTAATTTATATTTTTATGAGTTCTATGGTTGCATCTCATTTGTGTTTAGTAGTACATCATACTGAGAACTTTTACGGTAGAACTGTGATTCAAAAATCAACTTGAGTCTCCATGCTTAGAAATAGGGAATGATGCACAATTAAACCAAGACTCTCTGCCTTTAAGTGGGCAATGATGCACAGCTAAGTTGATTGTACATGCAAAGGACAACAATGGATGCTGTTGCAATTCAGGGAAATTAACCATTATGAAAAAGTGCCTCTCTGCTTTGTTGGCTAATAATCACTTGCTTGTTTGTGTAATTGAACTGGTAACCCATCTGACCCCGATGGTTTGGCCAGGTGTTAAAGTATTTTATTTCACCATTAAGAATTTAGCAAAGATTTAAGATCTTTGTAATAGGTTTGATTAGTGAGCCTAAAAGTTCTCCTGTTATCTTTCAGATTGATCTGCTACATTTTAGGATGGGTCTGCCCTTCCTCCCACCCTTACCCAAAATCTGTTATTTGACCTTCTGATCTCTAAGCAACCTTATCTCAGTCAAGGGTCTATTCCATCCTTATTTTCCATGAAAAATATATAAAGGGCTTATTTTCCTTTTCTTCCTAGAAGGAATGCAGGGTGTACTCTAAACAGAGGGTAGAGTGCATTATGTTTGAGAATGGAATGGTTGAACTCTTTTCCAGATACCAGACCCTGACCTTTTGTCTCTTTTATCCTACAAAGGAAGAACTTTAATTCTTCTCCGATATGCTAGTATGACCTGTTCTTTCTTGTATCAGAATGATCGTTCTTAATAAAACTGCCTGCTTTGCTAGCGAAGAGAAGAAGAAGAAGAAAGACAAGAAGAAGAACAAGAAGAGGAGGAGGAGAAGATTGGATTTATACCCCACCCTTCACTACCCAAAGGAGTCTCAGAGTGGCATACAAACTCCTTCCCCTCCCCTCCCCACAACAGACACCCTGGGAGGCAGGTGGGGCTGAGAGAGCTCTTCACAGAAACTGCTCTTTTTTTTAAGAACAGCTGTGCCAGAACTATGGCTTGCCCAAGGTCATCCAGCGGGTGCAAGTGGAGGAGTGGGGAATCAAACCCGGTTCTCCCAGATCAGAGTCCGCGCACTTAACCACTACACCAAACTGGCTCACTTGAGTGAATCTTTTTCTCTCCCAGACTGAACTCGGAGAAGGGGAGGTTATACTAGTGTTTGGGAAACTCACCTAAGAGCAGGTATATGACATGTCCTGAATATGTAATGCCAATTCTTGGCACAGTGGAAACATCTATGACCATGAATGGGCAGATTTTTTAACAATCCCTACCTGCTGCCCCCCAGTGGCCAAAAGGAGACTTACCGTTGGCCCAACCTCTCCTGGGGGGCCCCTCTCTCCAGGGCCACCTCTTGCCCCTGCTATTCCTTGGAAACCCTGCAAATAGGAACAGAGAGATGCTATTGCCAAAGCTGCCAGTGGACAGAAAGTTACTGGAACTTGAGGCTCAAAGGAGCATTAGCTTGCAACATCCCCCCCTCCCCACCATGAGAGGGAATTAGGCAGGGGTCGTTTCATAGAAAAAGAGCCTTCAAGGTTCATGCCGGTGCCCCCATCCAGCCAGGAATACCATGCTAAGAATACATCCTTCGTGACTCCTGCTCGCTTCATCTCCTATTAACATCACAATTTATAGGCAGGGGAGATGTCGACTCGTAGACCTGAGAACAGTGTAATGGGACTTTCCCTTTCTTCAGTTTTAATGGCTTCATTCTTCGGACAGAACAGTCAGCCTGAGTTCAAAACGCTCCTCTCCCTCTCACACTCCTTTCCCCATTTCCTTCTCTTTCTCCCACCTCCAATTTCCCCCTACCCTCTTCTTTGCTTTCCTTCCTGTTATCCTTTGCTCCACTCTCTCCCTCCCTCTTCTCCCAGGTCTCATTCCTCTCCCTTCTTCCTTCCCATGCATCAGATCTACAAGAGAGGCACTACTTGAGTGCACATTTGGACCCAAAACCCTGGAGAGGAAACACAAGGCGCCTTGACCAGGTTGAGTTAGATGTCTAAACTGGAACACAACCTGAGGGCTGCACTGCGCCAAAGCAAGAGACACCAGCTGCTTGTCTTACTCAGGAAAACCCACATGTGGCTCCTAGCCGCAGATCGGCAAGATCTCTTCCTTCCCCTTCACTGCCAATGTTGTCTTAAGGGCATGAAGTGGACCATTAAACCTAGCTTGGGACTCTTGCCTCCCTACAACTGAAATCTCTTTGTGCCCTTCCCATCACCCACATTCAAATCTGAACTGGCATCCCTGCTTTTTTTTGACGCAAGATTGAGCGGAATAGTCACTTGGATGCCAAACTTGGCTTGCGGGAACTGCCAAAGGGTTAGGGGCCCAGGTGGCTTCCCAGCTCTTGCCAGCCAGCGGCCAAAGGTAGATGTTCCACTTCAGGCACAAAGTGTGTTGTTCTCTGAGTCTGGTGTGCTACTACCTGGAGGGAACTCAAACGACTCTGTTCCTGGTAACTCAAGTCTGTAGGGTGGGAACGTTTTTATTGCGCACGACTGAGCTCTCACCCGCGGCCCTGGTGGTCCCGGTGGCCCAGCTGTGCCTTCTAGGCCTCGAACGCCCTGCAAACCAAACCACAGCCTGATGTTAAAGAGGACATCCGAAACTGGGTAGAATTAAGGGAGAGATGACGCGATCATGGGCTCAGCATAAGTCAGAAGCTGTTGCAGGCGTTCACATTTAACAAGGGGATCTGCCAAGATGGCAGTTCTGCCCCCCCCCCAAAGCCCCACTGATGCTGCACAATCTCCTTGGCCCTTCTGCCTGAGCTGAGAGGACTGGCCTGGTTTAGCCTTTCTCAGAGGTCATTTCATAGAAAAAGAGGTGCAGGAGCTCATTAGCATAACTCACTAGCATGACTTATTTGCATATGCCACACCCCCTGACATCACCGGAAGTGTGTCAGAAGGGAACACCCACCGCTCAGGCTCCACTGGACTGTTAGCTATGGGGGGGGGGGCGTGAAGATCTGTCCTTGCAGAGGAGGGAGAGCTTGTACCTGAATAAAACTTGGTCTTAAAGGTGCCACTGGACTGTTTCGGATTGCTAGCTATTGGGTGGGGGAAACATGCAAATCTGCCCTCACAGAGGAGGGAGAGCTTGTACCTGAATAAAACTTGGCCTTAAAGGTGCCACTGGACTGTTTCGGATTGCTATCTGGAAGGGGGGCTCTGCAACTTACCTGGCTGCTTCTTGCTCTGACTGAGGGCTGCTGGGAGCAGGGGGTGCATGTGCTCGCCCCCTGGGCTCTTTACTGCCCGAGCTCTGCTCCTGTGCGCTCCTGCAGGAAATGACCCCTGGTTCTGACCCTTAAAATGCTGGCTGCCATATTGAACCTGATCTTTTAGCACCTAGTTCCCACCCCGGTCTCACAAAGACTTCTCGGAGCTCGGCCTGTGCATAGGCCCAGCGCAGAAATCCTAATTCCAGGATATTCCTCATGAGAAACATAAGCATATACAGAAATACAAACCACAAGGTTAGACCGTCAAGAAAATTCACACATTTCACAAGTTGCCAAGTCTACTGCAACGTAATCGCCGTCAATCGATTAATAAAGAAGAACTGGTGGTCACAGTTCAAAACCAAGTAGCAATACAAAACATTTGACAAGAGAAGGTATAACAATTCAAATGTTTTGCATCGCTACTCCTTTTTGACCTGTGGCCACCAATTCTACTTTATTCATCGACTGATGGTGATTACGTTGCAATAGACTGATGTCTACTGGCAACTTGTGAAACTTGTGAATTTTTTGTTATGGTCTACCGTTGCGGTTTGTATTTCTGTAGATCACATACGATTGGGGTTTGACTTATCATGAGAAAGCATCGCTAAGACTCACTGTGGTTAACACGGGTGTGCATGCGCGACCTACTTTATTTGTGCCCCCACTTTTCTCCCCAATGGGAACCTAAAGCAGCTTACTTTGTTCTCCTCTCCTCCATTTTATCTTCACAAAAACGCTGCGATGCAGGTGAAGCGGAGACCGTGTGGCTAGCCCAGTCACCCAGCAAGGTTCCACAGCAGGGTGGGGATTCAAACCCGGGTCTGCCAGATCTGAGTCCGACACTCTAACCACTACACCACGATGGCAGGGTTGCCAAGTCCATCAGACCCGTAGGCGGGGGGACGGAGGGAGCGTTCCAGGAGCAGGAAGTGACGTACCGAGAAATAAACATGGCACGCCTATGTCACCTGGAAGTGATGTAAGCACATCGGTGACGTTGGGAGCAACGTGCTGATTTTTGTGCAAAGCTCTGTGGTAACATTGGCTTCCAACCATAGAGTTTTGCCCAAACACCAGAGTGTCCCCCCACGACACTTCCGAATGACGTAGGCGCGTCGTGTTTATTTCTGGGTACGTCACTTCCTGCTCCTGGAACGCCCCCTCCACCACCCCCTCCGTCCGTGATGGATCTGGCAACCCTACCATCGTATGTCACTCCCAGGTGACATAGGCACATCGTGTTTACTTCCTGTTTCTTCTCTCTCGGCTTCCGGTAAGTCATATTTATTTATTCATTTTTCAAATTTATACCCTGCCCTCCGTGCTGAAGCAGGCTTGGCAGGGGAGGCTAGTGTTCCTATCTCCCGCTTCCTGATAGCCCTGAAACAGGGAAGGGGCTCCCAACCGGGGGTCCCCCGCCCCCAACTGGGGACCGGCAACCCTACACATTGGCTTTCATTTGGGTATTTCCAGGCTGGGAGTGAACCTTTGCCAGTGGTGACTCATGGTGACTCTCGGTTTCCTTTTTTGCTTTTATGCCTGGGATGTGCAGTTTGACGTGCCACCATGTATGGAGCTTTGAGTCCATGATGGAGGATGTGCAGTTGTGCACCCCAAAAGTCCCAGGTTCAATGCCTGGAGTTTCTGGTGAAATGTTCTCAGGTAGCCATGGATGGGAAAGACCTTTCTCTACTTGAGACTCTGGAGGGCTGCCACCAGTAGGAGCAGAAAACATTGAGCTAGATAGACCCTGTGATGTATTCAATAGCTGCCAGTGGAATACATAACTGTATGTGAACCACCTCATTGAAGTGCTGTGTTAAGCTTCGTCCTGGGCTAGGATCCTAATCCCTCCAATCCTATTGGTAGCCCAGGAAGAACCAACCAATCACGGGCCATCAAGCTCCCTGAGCGGGAACATCTGTGATTGGACCTTATGTATCCAATCTTATTGGTTGGTATTGTGTAATAGGCGTGGCTACATTAGCCGGGAGAGTGTAAAAGTGGAACAGCTTCAATGCAAAAGCTGTTCTGGCTATCCGAGTTGATCCGTGTTGGAGTTTGAGTTACGAGTTGCTGAATAAAGCTGATCTTTGCTGAATCACTCTCCGACTCGTTTTTGTTAAGTAGCCGACTTAACAGACCCAACAAACACGTGAAGCTGCTTTCTACTGAATCGGACCCTCAGTCCTTCGAAGTCATTATTGTCTTCTCAGACTGGCAGTGGCTTTCCAGGGTCTCAGGCAGAGGTCCTTCACATCACCTACCTCCTGTTCGTCTTTACCTGGACATGCCGGGGATCAGGGTTCCCTCTAAGCTGAGTTAGTGTGAGCTATCTCACAGTTGTTTATAGCCTCTGGCTCACACATTCTTGTCCTAGCTCGGGAAGGATGGTTCCAGAGCAAACTAATCTATGCAGCAGCCAAATCGCTCGCTTGCAGCTTTGATGCCAGCGGCTCATAAAGTATTTCTGCTCAGAAGACTCCACAGCTTAGAGGGAGCACTGCCGGGGATTGAACTTGGGACCTTCCGCATGCCAAGCAGACGCTCTCCCACTGAGCCACGCCCCCTCCCCTAAGGAAAGTGTAATATTTATCAATATGAGGCCCCGGCCACATGAGCGAGATAATCTGGGGGGGGGGAGTGAGGCTTTTTGCTCCGGAGCAAAATGAAGCGTGGTGTCACGATCAGACGTTCCCCCCGATGCTCCACGCACATGCCCCCAGCCGCGATCACACGTCAACAGTGAAGTGTGGCAAAGGGAGGAGGAGAAGCGGCATGGCGCGATCACCCACGCAGTGATCGCAAGCTGCCGCTTCCTGACCTCACGGGCATTTTTTCCCCCCAGCTGGCGGTCCCGCCTGTGCATGACCATGGAAGTGAATCCATAGAACAGTGGGCATGCGCAGCTCCACGTTTGTGTGCAAACCACGGAGGCTTAAACAAAACATCCGGTGTGAGACGGGACGCAGACGGGATACCGGTGCTTCCGCGATCCGGAGCCCGCCCGCGCCACGCGTTTTCCGGAAAATACTGCACTTTAATACTGCACCTTCCCTACTATCTTTTAACTCCGCTTCTTCGGCCAGGTGCCACAGGTTGCCTACGGGTGCGGGACACTTGCCAGATGTTCATGTGTGATCGCGCCCGGAAAATCCACACGGCAGCCTTCCCTATCACGTGGCTACTTCTCCGTGTGCCTGGGGCCTGAGCTAACTTTCCAATGATCTGTTCCTTGCCCTTTAGTGGATGCGACAGACTCAGAACTGGGCAGCTCCAAGGAATGACACCATCAGTCCTGAATGCAGCTGTGATTGAGCCGCCCTGGGCTCGGGAGGAACTTTGATTTCCGTTGCACTTCGTGACAGCCAGGTCACCTGTACGTACAGGTAGCTGCGCCTGGAGCATTTCAGCCTCTCCAGTGTTGTTTACCTTGGCTCCTTGAATTCCATCTTTCCCTGGAGCTCCCTGGGGGCCCATCATTCCCTGCAGGCAAGCAGAACTGTTATTCAGAAAGCTGAACCCAAGCGGAAGCGACAAACAGCTCTTGGCTATGAAGCCAACATCCCAAGAGCCTGCTTTCAACAAGACGAAGTGCCTTCATAAAACATAGGTAAAGGTAAAGGTTCCCTTGCTCGAAAGCCAGTCGAGTCCGACTCTAGGGTTGCGGAGCTCATCTCCGTTCCAAAGCCGAAGAGCCAGCGCTATCCGAAGACGTTTCCGTGGTCATGTGGCCGGCATGACTAAACACCAAGGCGCACGGTCTGTTAAATAGCAGCAACGGCCACATCCCAAACACACCCCAATCCCAATGATAGGCTATTGACAAAACTTTACATTTTAATTGGTTATTGCCAGAATCCTGTTGGTCTATTGTTATTTGGCTCGAAGCTCACCCTGTCTCTGGCAGCACAGTCCTGCAGTGTTTCAGTCCCAATACATAACACACACACTTATTGACTCGGGGCATGATCCGTCTCCTGCAATGCACACAGGTCTTTCCCTCACTTCTGCTCCCTGTGAACAGCCCTTGGCAGGGATTGGCTTATCTGAAGGACCTTACAGGGCTTGGGACCAGGTTAGCTGAAGGACCCTCTTTGCCCATATGCTCATGCCTGGGAATCAAGATCACGGGGAGAGGCCCTCCTGACTGTCCCATCAATCAGAGAAGCTTGTTTGGTGGGTACATAAGGGCCTTTTCGGTGGCAGCCCCACAATTATGCAACGATCTCCCCAGGGGAAAAGATCAAGATGGGTCCCAATACATAACACACACACTTATTGACTCGGGACATGATCTGTCTCCTGCAATGCACACAGGTCTTTTCCCCACTTCTGCTCTCTGTGAACAGCCCTTGGCAGGGGTTGGCTTATCTGAAGGACCTTACAGGGCTTGGGACCAGGTTAGCCGAAGGACCCTCTTTGCCCAGATGCTCATGCCTGGGAATCAAGATCACGGGGAGAGGCCCTCCTGACTGTCCCGTCAATCAGAGAAGCTTGTTTGGTGGGCACGTAAGAAAGGGCCTTTTCGGTGGCAGCCCCACAATTATGGAACAATCTCCCCAGGGGAAAAGATCAAGATGGGTCGCTGTGTTAGTCTGTCTGTAGCAGTAGAAAAGAGCAAGAGTCCAGGAGCACCTTGAAGGCTAACAAAATTTGTGGCAGGGGACGAGCTCTTCTGAGTCACTTCTCACTTCTTCAGAAACCACTCCACTCTCCAAGACATAAGGACAGCTGGACTTACATTCTAGCTTTATCTGAAGAAGTGAGCAGTGCCTCTTGAAAGCTCCTACCCTGCCACAAACCTTGTCAGTCTTTAAGGTGCTACTGGACTCTTGCTCTTTTCTACTCCCCAGGGAAGTATTCTTGGCCCCCGAATTTCCGATTTTTAGGAGGCAGCTGAAGACAGTTTTACTCGGGACTGCAATTTGTTAAGTCTAGTAGCAGTCCCGGGTAGTTAGTGATTTTAAATTTTGGTTTTTATGTTTTCACTGTCTTTCTCCCCCCCACCCCCCATGTTTTATCTCTGTTTGTAAGTCACCTTGAGCTCGGTAAGGAAGAAATGCAGCTAATAAATGTTTTAAATAAATGAATAAATGCCAGGTGTGTGGCAATATGGCCATCCCTTAGCCAAAATTAGAGGCTTCTGCGTTCCCCCCCACCCCATGAGCATCCAGGTGTCTTGCTCCTTCCGAGTCCACAGATGACTGGCTTCTAACAGGTACACCTCTTGAAGGGGATGATGAAGAAGAAGAGAATGGATTTATACCCCGCCCTTCACTATCCAAGGGAGTCTCAGAGTGGCTTACAAACTCCTTTCCCTTCCCCTCCCCACAACAGACACCCTGGGAGGTAGGTGGGGCTGAGAGAGCTCTGACAGAAACTGCGAAGAAGAAGAAGAAGAAGAGATTGGATTTATACCCCGCCCTTCACTACCCAGAGGCAGTGTTCCCTCTAAGCTGAGTTAGCGTGAGCTAGCTCACAGTTTTTTTAGCCTCCAGCTCACATATTTTTGTTTTAGCTCAGGAAGGATGGGTCCAGAGCAAACTAATTTATTCAGTAGCCAAATCACTTGCTCACAACTTTAATGCCAGTAGCTCACAAAGTAGAATTTTTGCTCACAAGACTCCATAGCTTAGAGGGAACATTGCCCAGAGGTGTCTCAGAGCAGCTTACAAACTCCTTTCCCTCCCCCTCCCCACAACAGACACCCTGTGAGGTGGGTGGGGCTGAGAGAACTCTGACACAAACTGCTCTTTTTCAAGGACAGCTGTGCCAGAGCTTGTGACTGACCCAAGGTCACATCAGCAGGCGCAAGTGGAGGAGTGGGGAATCAAACCCGGTTCTCCCAGATTAGAGTCCGCGCACTTAACCACTACACCAAACTGGCTTTGGATGGATCATGCCCTTTTAAGAAACACGTGACACTGGACACATACAATCCCTAGAAACGTGACCTTTTTAGCTTGAGCATTTCCCCATTTCTGTGGACAAATACATTTTGCCGGTCATGGATTGCCATCGTTGCCACAGAGGAACACAAGATCTGGGTGGGGCTGTCCTCCTGGCAAGGTGTCCTCTCCTGCAGTAGAAAAGGATGGGCAAGCTGTCCCCAGAACAGCAACCTTAGTACAGCTTGAGCATGTGGAATGCATGTTGGTGCAGTGTTATTGTGCACGGGAAATGCAAAATGGTTAGGAAGGATGAACATATTTGCATCTGAAGTCTTCCCCACACTGTTATTCTAGAAACACTTCTGCTTCTATCACCAAAATGTCATGAAATCCAACGCTTTTCTTTAAGAACATAAGAGACGCCAATGTTGGATCAGGCCAAAGGCCCATCCAGTCCAACACTCTGTGTCACACAGTGGCCAGAAATACCAGGTGCCATCAGGAGGTCCACCAGTGGGGCCAGGAGATTAGAAGCCCTCCCTCTGTTGACTCCCCCCCAAGCACCAAGAAGACAGAGCATCACTTGCCCCAGAGCCCCTATCTATACCTTGTGGCTAATAGCCACTGATGGACCTCTGCTCCATATCTATATATCTAATAGCCAACTTGCCCCCTCCGTGCGGATCGCTAAATCAGCACGGAGGGGGCAGCTGGGGGGCTGGGGGAGGTTTGTGCACACGTGGGCCAGTCCCCACGTGTGCACAAAAATACAAAAAGTTTTAAAAAATTTCGGGGGGATGTTTAAATCCCCCCGAAAGTGCAAGAGCGTCTCCTGCGCATGCGCAGGAGACGCTCTGCAACGCCGCCGCCACTGCCGCCGCCTCGGACCAGCCGGCGGGCTGGCGGGCGACGGGGGGGAGGAAGCCGGGCCTCGCCGCCGCCGCTGCCTCCCCGGAGCCGGCTGGCCAGCCAGCCAGCCAGCCGGCCGGCCCCACA